CACATAGGCGTGTTAACCCGATTTTATGAAAATCTAATCTATCTGGTTTCGTTTTATTCCTAGGTAACTAATAAAACGTTTTAAAAATAAAAAGAAAGGGAATGGTTAAGCATACAACAACCGCAGGCAATGCATCAGTTATGTTTATTTCTATTATCACTCTAAATACACACGGTAAAAATTAATTTTCATGAAATAAATTATGCCCGTCATAGAATCCGTTTTTAGTTACACACCATAACTCAGTTTAAATTTTATTCATTGCGACCCAAACTGAATTAACGATATGAATAAACAAGATTTAAATTATAAACGTTCATACACTTTTCTGCGAAGGAAACGCTATTAATTTTTAGAAAGGTCACTGCAATACTTACTTAACGTTGCAAGTCAGTTATTTTACAAAAAAATACTCGACGTGCAAAGGGGTTAATAATTCTCCTTTCAAGATAGGATAATCTAATAGATCCCACTCGGAACGAACATGAATGTTCATTCATGAGCCTTTCAGGTTGACCGGTACTTTCTTCGTCGGAGTCGCACAAGTTCAGAGGTCAAATTACCTTCTAAAGCTTCCCCTTTTTATGTTACTTTAAAACTACTGGAAATCTAAAGAAGATTCTTAGATAATCCTTTAATAGTTTTTGATCAAGGAAATAATATTCCTCGACAGATGTATAGGTACGAACGTACACACCCATTTTTCACTCAGCATTGAGAAAGTCAGAGCATCGAGAAGCATTTTAGTGGAATTCTTCTCAATTTTCGTTCCACGACTTTTGCCTTTTACTCGACTGCATTCGCGTTCTGATGTTCCCAGAAGATTCGTTTTCTCTGTATGTAAAGCGTACGGTGGGATTGCGAGCATTTGTCTCTCTCCTAAAGGAACAAAAGCTTCTCAGTTTTCTCATGGACAAGGAAATCCATCCTTTGTAATGTATACCATAAGTGGAAGATCCTTTTTAAAGGAAAGCAATAATAGCGGTAAAGGCGATGCTGTGAAGATTAGAAGACGCGAGATCTTTCTATGAATCATGTTGATGTAGACTGATCTTAGATAATTTATTACATTTTATTATTTTCCTTCCATTTTATTATAACCTTCTTTCATAAATATCATACTCGGACTATATGTATACGAATTATAGGGCTTGTTATATTTGTTAAACACTCCACTGCTTTTACTGAGAAAGAGTTACAAGGCTTCCACTTTGGAGATTTAATTTAATTTAAATGAAATTAATACTCACTTCAAAGTTAATATTACTCGATATTTTAGTTTTAGTCCTAGGGCATCTGAGGGTCTCAGAATAGGAATAGGGAATCTTTCGACATTGGAATCTCGTATGGTTTTATGGTTCCTTTTAAAATTGTAAAATGAAATTTTCCTAATTATACATTAACTCTAAATAAAACACATATGGTATACGGATTATTGGTAAAAATGTAGAATATTTCATGAAGATGTGTACCTGGTGCCATTACGAATCGAAACATTCTTTACCGTTTTTCAATCCGACGTTTCCTTACGGAGATACAAGCTATTGAAATTTTTAATCATGAACGCATAGTCACGTGCGGGGAGCGCGCGAGCGCATAGTCACGTGCGGGAGCACGCGCGCGCAACCGAGAGGTAAACAAACTTCGGGCACGGATGGCCCGCATTCGACAGCTCCGAATGGTGAACTTTACTTGCTTCTATCTCGGTAACGAATGATCCAATCGAAAAATGGTAAAGGACTTTTTGTTTTGTGTTATCATGAACTATCTTTCTCGATAGATCTTGAATTTTTATTATTATCCTGTATTGTAAAATTGAAACCTTTTTGCCAAATATCAAATATTCACTTGTTTCACTGCCTTAATAAAATTGAATTATAAATGTACTTCATTCGCCAATGCCACAAATTTCAATTTGGCTTAAAATTAGTATAAACGAAAGAAAGAAAACGGAGTTATAAGTGAAGATAGGTATTTAAAAAATTAAATAAACGTATTATTTCAATTTTTCTCGAGCAAGTTCAATTTGTAAGCCTATCATATTCATTTGAAAAGTATTTTTATATTCAATAGTTACCCCATACCAAGCCTAATAAAAGCCCTCTTAATTTAAAAGAGTAAAATCACGAATAAAACATGTATGCGTGCCAACAGAAACTTTCCTTGAATAAACTTTCCTTTCACTATAATCTATTTTGTAACCATATACCTTCCATAATTTTACATAATATTACACCATTCTAACTATAGCGTACAATAGCCAGTACAATGTTAAAAACAAGACACGTGAGGTTCAGCTTATGGGCCAGTGGCGATGAAAGGCAAGTTTTCAATAGAGTTAAGCAACTTCTGTAATCTGTCATCGACGTGCTCTACGTTGGATGACACATTTCTCTGGATCCCGCATGAAACTTAATGTCAACGCCAAAGACGAAATCGCTTATATATGCCGTTGACTCCCGAACCGCGTTCATTAGCCATGAACTAATCTCATAACAGGGAGGACGACGATACTCTACGTCGGCTTTCCACGCGCCTGCGTACAAATGGATATATAATAAACGGCCTATGCGTGCCACGTAAACCATCAAGCACAGTGGCTATTATTAATTATCCGCTGGTCTACTGCATCAGTGGCTAATCAATCGGGAGTCAGTGACTAATGGGTGTGAATCTAATGGCTTACACGAAATGGATCGGGTATTTCTGGAGATAAGTATTCCCAAAGTGGCACGCAACGAGACCACGATTTCTATCTAATCGAAATCCAGAACTTTTCGAACCGAGTGTTTCTGTAATAAGGAGAATTCATGGGGAAAGGGGTTCCCAAGAAATTTCCTGTCTTAAGAAACCAGTGGAAGTTAGCGTAGTTCATAGCAGTTATTTTTCAAAACATTGAGTTTATCTCTGCACGTTTCAACTATAAGATTTTATGGGTTTCCTCGGTAATAAGATAATGTATACATGAAATAGAGTAATGCAAGGCGAAATAATAAACGATTGTAAACATGGACTATTAGAAATCCAATTTTGTAGAATTCATTTAATTCATTTAATTATATTTCTAATTTTGTAGAGCTATACTATAGAACAATGTATTTTACATGTATGACTACAAACTGTTCAAGTGACACCAACGAGAACCACGAAACAAACACAAGGAGCCATAAAACGAAAAATAAAAATCAAGGGATGATACCGCTCCAAACAAAAAGCGTTAACCACGGCATTTTATTTGCGCGTGGCTTACGGGAAATCTTCATTTGATGATGTACGATAAAAGTGATACGCGCAAGTCTAAAAATCAATATCAACAAATCCACGAGTCACACGATGCACACAGCTTATCGATTGCGGGACGGTTTCCATCGAAATACCAAGCTTTTCGCTTGCGCAAATGCTTATTTATCCCTGGATCGATGCCATAGAATACGTCGAAAGGATGCCGGCTATCCCCTATTGGCATTCTGTCCGCATCGTTTCTTGTCTTGGCCAAGGAGGGATCGAAATACCAAAATGAAGAGCTCCGCCAAAATTTCTCCAAGTTTCCAAATCGCTTCGTATTTCCTGCGAACTTGCGCAAACTCTGGGCGAAAGTCTGGAAAATTTCCTCGAAAACTCCCGTGGAAGGTATTAGCACCCTGGAATCGACAGCCCATCCACCGACGGTGAGGGGAACGGGCAGCCAGCTATTTAATGTACTTGCGATGCCACGAACTTCGCAACAATAAAGTCTAACTACTACATCACTTACGTCACTTCCCTACCTCTTTCTCTCTTGAATTCCAATTTCGACGTTGATGAAACCCAAAAACTAAGGCGTATAAAAATAGTCGGACGACGGTAAAAGGCTGCATAAATCATGAACAGTGCACCTTCAGCCCTTAGACAACAGATTTACTATCTGCAAAACATGATAAACTGGAAGCCTTGGACAGGCAACCGCCATATGTAGTCGAATTTGCATTGTAAAAGGGTTTCTGCTACGTGGTCTAGCGAAATGATATGAAGGAAATTAGAACTGGATAAAATGATTTTAAATTGAACATTATTTCGTTTAGTGAATTAATTGTTCTGGTGGCATTGACAGAATTGGAATATTTTACGTTTCTAATACCGAGTACTGACGAAAATAATACAATTCTGAAATATCAATGTTGTAAATATGTAGTGTATAAACTAAAAAGATTTTCATAATTTTTTCATAAACAGGAATAAAACTCGAATTGACGTGGATTCACGGCAGCGGTCGCGAATGTGTTAATCATTTGACTTGCTGACCATGATATGCTAACGGATCTTCTTCTATTGAATCACTTACAGCAATTTCGAGACAACACATCAGCTTGTGTACCTTCCAATTTTCGAATTAGATATAAACACGTTTACCTCTTGCTTGAACTGAGCGCAAATTGAAACTCGATATGTGATTGTTCATCAGCTGTTGGACTTGCTGTTAGAGGGTGAAAATGATACTAAGGGGAGAAATTCGTAAGATTGAGTTTCGGCGCGTGATTGATGGTCGGGTGGGCTACGGTCGTACAAGATTCGCAGAGAGTACTTTAACAAATACATACTACAGTGAACATTCACTAGATAGTATTTAACAACAATCAATTTTGAAACGTAATTGTACCCTCTCTACCGATATCTTAAACCAATCAAATTATTTAGGAATTCAAATCAAGAGCCAAAAGTAAGTTTAGGAATTAAGAATTCATTAAAGAACTCTATTTTATTCTAGAAATATATTTATAAAATATTCCTGCTGGCGCATTGCAATTGATTAATTGGATTGAAATAATTCATCGAGAAATTATACTCTGAATTAATTAATTACAAACCTTTCCAGAGGAACGTTCTAAGGTATTCTTGTTGATTAATTACCGTTAATTGGCTGGAAAGAAATAATTCATTGTAAAACCGTACACTGCATTAACGAGCCCCGATGATAGATCTCCTCAGGGGAATATTTTTAAGATACTCTTGTTTAATTACAGGAGTGGAATGACGTGAACATGAGATGGAACGTGTCGGAGTACGGGGGTGTGAGAGACCTCAGGATCCCGCCACACAGACTTTGGAAACCTGACGTTCTCATGTATAACAGGTAATCTAACCCTGCCATCATCTGCTCAATATTCATAGAATGATCTGTTTGATTTTTATACGCGTTGACAGGCACAAAGGGTATTAAAATTCTTTTAACGAAGTTTGCACTAATTTAAAAACCAAAATAGCTATTGTTAAGGCAAAAAGAGTATGATTAAAAGTGTAACTCATGAATAGTTCGCTTAATTGTTGGCTGAAGTAAAAGCATCGTAACAAAATAGTTTTCCGAAACTTTACATTAGCAAATTTACTACGCTTGATCGGAGGGATAAGTGCATTTTTATGGCTTCATCAACGTCTTTGTGCCTGTGCTATCGTTTTCAATACACAACAGTTTTAAAGACTTTATATTGCTTTTATTATATCGACTGGATGCATTTTAGTAAAAAAATACGATAAAATGGACATCAAGTACATTAAAACGAAATGATAAAACTGTAAAGCAAAATTCTACTGAAGTAACTACTGAAACAAAATATATATTGAATAATATAATAGTTAAAGAGATGTTGGTTTAATGGTACTGTTGTTTAACCAACGGATGTTGGATTGTATTTAATGAGAACGTCATTTCAATGACGAAGCACAATAATACTCGTTCTTGCGTGAATGATATTAATATTTAAACGCGATGTTTGCGCGTGGCTTGGAAAACCATTAAGTAATTAGAATATATGCATAATGTTGTAATGATACGTTGTATTCGGTATATTTACTCTGTGAGAACATATTGAAATTTACAATAAAGTAATAAACTGAACAATAAAACCTGTCTGTAGATGTAAACGTTATTCAATTGTTGCATGTAAATATTCTTGACAGGTTTGTGAAAAAATTCAATAGAAAAAACTTTGAAGGATAGATCACGCGAGATGTGATTTTTATTAGATGGTTATAAACCACTGCGAGAGTTAACGATAAATGTCAAAAACCATAACGAGCAGATAGACATTTCCATTTCTTTCAAGGCAACATTATAGTCGGTCCTACACCTTTGATCTTTCACCTGAACATGACGTCGTCCACGGTGGATATTAATTTCGCAATGGAATTTGTACGCGAATACGAAATAAGCTTTGTTTCCGGTTAGTTAAACTCCACAAAGCAAATTACTTTTCTTAGGAGTGGGGTCCGATTTAAGCGCGGCTGCATAATATCTGAATCTGACAGCAAGAACGTCCCGTGAATACATAGTTTATTTCAAACGATGAACGATACGGTGCAATTCAGGTTCTTCGTTAACTAGTTTCTCGAAACACAGGGAGTAATATTCATGAGTCTTGGAAAATTGATTTCAAACGTATCGATCGTTAGAATTTGAATTTTATATTGTAAATATGTAACGACTATATATGTGTCTGGGAATGGAGGGAATTCTGGAAAGAAATAGATGTCACATGGAATATCTATACCGACGATAAATCTAGAATGTCATTTTGAAGCACCGAAACCTTGTTCCTCAACTTTACAATGTCGTCAGCAGAAAGGCACCGTTCTTTTTCCAAAATATATACTGTCATTCCAATGTTCTTACTCTTTTTACTGTTCCTCCAGCAGGCAAGTTTAAGTGAATCCGATAAAAGGGACCCGACGTTTTCCAAGTGTCAACTCTTTGCTCGATCAAAAACGGTTTACGTGGCGTGAATAAATCTAGAAATGTCCCAATTCACTCAAAACAGATAATGTTTTAGGTGAAATGCAGACTGAGGCAGGTTCTGCCATTTCTTACATTAAAAAAACACTGCTTTCCTATTTGAAATTCCAACTTCAATATTCTCCCATCGAATTTTTCTGACTCGTCTCGTAATGATTATAATTATTGTTCTTTTTTTAGTTGCAACAAAATTGTAGCTCTTCATACTTTTTTAAGCAAGGAGCGACCGTTTGACAATTTACTACTACTTTTATAAATTTATATTCAATTAAAAAACATGCACGTAGCTTTGCAAACAATTCGCTGAATGTAACTGCAACACTTTCTCCTGAAGATCAATCCACTACAATGAATAGAAGCGTACAATAAATAATCGCTCCTTCGTGACTGCATAACAATAACTAACCTGTCCGCGAGTTAACAATGCAATTCATCCACCGTAACTCGGAAATAAATAATATAAAATAATGGAAGGCTTTAAAATTACAGAATAAATGGCTGTGACCCACGAAAGTTAACCGAACTCGGTAAAGTCGAAACAGAATTTAACGTTAGTTGAAATTTGTTTACCGTTCGCAGTGTCGACGCTCGTTCGGTGAGAGCAGCGTAATTTCTCTTCGGAATAATTAGTTTTACAACATGAACGATATATTTCCTGCGAGCCGCGCACCGGATCGTCCATTCAAAGTGAATGGACGCTGACCAACTTCCGTCGTACAATTGGCCTCAAACGCAGGGATCGGTATTAATCTCCGTGTGCACGTAGGTTGCCGTGAGGTCACTCGCAAAGATGGTGCATGCCTGAATCGCATCGAGGATCGATCAATTAGCCGCTTTGTCGCTTCGTCACAGCGCGTTCCTCGCGTGCTCCACTTTTCATCAGCTCTGTCGAACGAGGAAGTAAACGTTCACGTTTATTATGTTGTACTTCCCCGACGGCGATGGATACCGCCGCTGCAAAATATATTGAACGAAAGGCGACAAAGGCTGGGGAAACAGTCGAAAGCCTCGACGAGATTGCGCTACGGAGACCGTAAAAAATAAACAAAAGGTGGATGACAATCCAATAAAGTTGCATAGTAAAATAAAAATTATTCTTAAGAATAGACTGAATCGTTAGTAGAAACTTTAGTTCACTTTAAAGTTACAGCAATAATAATTAATTTAACTATTGTCAGAAATTAATTTTTAACTGTACTATAGCAAAATATATGATTGTCACTGATATTTAAACGAATAATAAACGTTACTGTATACATTATAAACGTTCGATTTATTCGAAGACATAAATTTTAATTGCATCTCGAAATTTCAGATTGTTATTTGAAAAATAATAAAACGGAAAATTGATTGTACTATTTATAAACTAGAAATGACAAGGAGTAAAATCAAATCATTTCTTTCCCTTCCTACCTACTGAAAATTATTGGAAATACTTTCAAACCTCGAAATTTGGTAGTTCGTCTAATGCACTCAATTAATGCATTTTGCCATTACCTTTATCGAGTACTGATACATATGCGAAATGATTATTCTGGAAATTGGCAAGTAAATTTCTACTGGGGCTAGTGTTGAACACAACCGACACACCACAAAATTGTTGCTACGTGAGTCCAACGGCCGACAACACGTTCGCCGACTTTGTATGTATTCGGCCGCAATAACCGATGATGCTTGATTTGAGTTCTCATTAGAAATGTATAACTGCTGCCACAAATCCGCGGTTTAAATTTACACCAATTACATCTGTTCATTGTTTAACGGTGCACTAGTTAGGGCCATCGTCGGAGGATATTGTTTTAGGCTGAAATTTTTTTTAAACGGCAGCTTCAATATTCAATCTACAGTTGAGTATACTAAAACTTGGGAGCAGTTGTTTACGGTTCAGGATCAAATATACTTTTTATAGCACTTTTACTTTCTTTTTATTCGACTCTTTGAACGTTTTTACATTATCCACAACTTTCAAAATACTCATGTTAAGTTTGTGGAATAGAAAGAGTAGAAATATTAACAAAGTGTTTTTCTCCTAAACAATATTATTGTATAAAGTTAAACTCTGGTATCCTGTTTGACTACCGAGTAGCATCCTAAAACCGCTGCCATTAGATAAACTTGGTTAAGCGTTTAAAAGTTGCAGGCAAAACAAATAGGGGCGAGATTGGCCCGTGCGTCGAATCGCGCAAGGAAAAAGGAAAAGAAAAATTTATCGAGACAGTAAATTCGTTAAGAGCGATCTAGATTCTGAACTATCAGAAATTCTTGGTGACTGGTGCATGGTGCAAAAGTGGGACGCCAGGCCAAGTGGGTCAGTCGCATTAAAAACAAAGCCACCGCCACCATTCGAAGAGAATCAAGGAAAGTATCTACCCCGCGCGGAAATATATTGTCGGAAAACGCTTGCGGCCCCTATTGTTTTTAAGTAGGTAATGTATCGATTCCAGCTCTCCGTCGTATTTGTCGAATTAAAAGTTTAGTTTAAGACGCACTAAACAGAGCGGAAAGAACGGACTGCCCTCCAGTGAATCGTGTCGCGCATTCGAACAATATTTGCGCGTTCCTCGTTAGGCTATTTGGCCGAGCTGACTGGTCATTTTCATATGCAACCCTTTCCACTCGGATGTCTGATGAAACATCACTGTCTAGAAAACTTAGCGATTGTACAAAATAAACGTACGCGAACAGAAATTTTTTCAAAAGTGCATGTTCCCTCAGAAATGTTTCGCTATTCCCATTTTTTTCTCCTTACCAATTTCATACTAACTACCATTTCATACCATTCATACTAACCACCAGAAAGAACCGAAAGAAGTGTTTAGCGTAACAAGAATGAAAGCTTATATTCCTTGATAAATTTTCCATTTTCCTTTGGTCCCTTTTTTAGCAACTTCACGCGTGGAGTGCAATTCATCTCACGATACTTTTCAATTACTACTGAAAAGAACTGAACGACGCGTTTACGACGAAAAAATAGCAGCTGCTTTATACGATTCAAATTCTTTAAGACCATCATAAACTTAGTATCAATTCAATTTCAAATCTGATGTTCTCCCAAGTAATAAGGTGTCCTGTGGCTATAAGTTTTAATATCTACAGTGAAGAGGACCTACTGCAGCACGATTTAATGGAAAATATTAACTGCTTCCCATGCAAGAAACGCCAGATACCAATTTTACTTGGCGATTTTTCCTTAATATTTCTACCTTACCGGATGTCCAATAAATCTCATAATGTATTACCATCTTAGTCGGCAATTTTTCCGTGAAACAAAACAACTCGCGATTTATCGGGTCTTTCCAAACAATACTAATCGAGACTTCTGATGACAGTTGGAGGAATCGATT